ACAGAATTAACTACTTAGATGGAATCTTGTTTTAAATTTTCAATCCTTAGTTATAAAAGTTGAACATTTTATATACTGTTAACTACAAAATAATTATTATTTATTGCATTTTAAATATGATAAATTTTGTCAAAATTTCTAACTTTAATGCTTCTAAAAAAAATTGTGCCTATGTATTTTTAACATTTTTCAACTGCTGTTGTTACAGTATATCAGGAGCTTTGTATTACATTTTCAGGCTTTTTTACAAAACAAATATAATTTTATTGATATTTATAGAAAAAAAAACTAAGAAAATTTAAAACCGTCAATGCCCGTAAACAGTTCAAAAAGAGTCAACATATTTTCAAATTTTTAAAGTGTATAGAAAATGCTAATACAAACATTCAGTGAAATTTTCAAGTATCTAGAGCCATTTGTTTTTTAATTACAATAAAATAACAAAAACACTACATGAGAAATTGAGTGAATATCCAATATTGTAAAATTATGAAATTCAAATGGTCATAAAAATTTAATTTGATATGCTTGTAGACATTTTTTTTTTTTGATAAAGGTAGATAAAATTATGAGTAATCTTGTATTACATTTTCAAATCTTAGATTTAAAAAGAAAAATTTTTATGAATTCTCTACTCAAAATAATTTGTTCATTTTCATGATTTTTTCGTATTTTGTCAAGATTTGAACTTTAAATGCTTATAAAAAAAAATTGTGACTGGATTTTTAATTTTTTTTTAAATATCATTGTAACAATATATAAGGAGCCTTGTATTACGTTTCCAAGATTTTTTACCCAAATTGTATTGACGTTCATAGAAATAAAAACTAAAATAAATTGAAAACTGGAAATGTTCTTAAACAGTTCAAAACAGATCAAAATGTTTTGAAAATTTTATCGCGTATAGAAAATGCAAATATAAACTAATAGTAAAATTTTCATGTTTATACGTTCATTTGTTTTAGAGTTAAACCAAATACCAAAATCTATTTTGGGGAAAACCGATTTTGAGTAAAAATTCCCGTTTTTCCCTAATTATACATGTTTGAAATAAAAATTAAAACGGATATTCCGAAGTATGTGTAATTTACCACCACTTTTTGGTCTAAAACGTATGAAAAATTATGAAGAATTACGATTTTAGTTATTTTGTTCTAATTTAAAATATTATTCGTGGGTACCTGTACTTGAAACTTCCAAAGTATATTATTATACACAAATATGATTATACGCAATTAATATTAATTCAACTTACATGCTAAAGTATTAATAGTAACAATATAAATTATAAATATATTATAAAATAACCTAGGCTGGCAAACTGTCCTCGCTCAGAATCGTTTTTCGTATACAATGATACCTATTAAATCATTGAATTAAAATTAAGCACCATCCATTACAGTGACCCACTTGTAACCTTCTGTACAGCAGAACGTCACCCACTTACCCGTTTTTATTATTTTAAACCTATATAGGTACTCTGTTATAGATATGCAATGATTTTTGATTACTCACAGAAAATATCGATTGGTGATGAATGACTTACCTCCCAAGGTGTCAAAATGTTTTGAGCTGCTTACAGAGAATTTAAAATTTTTAGGATTTTTTTCTATAAATATTAATACAATTTTATTTGATGGGTAAAAATGCTTGAAAGTTTAACACAAGAGGCTCCTGATATATTGTTACCACTTATAGCAGTTGAAAAATATTAAAAATACATATATGCATACTCACAATTTTTTTTATAAGCATTTAAAGTTTGATTTTTGACAACATTTATCAAATTTAAAATTTAAAAATGATTTTTTAGTTAAACTTTATAAAATGTTAAACTTTTAAAGGGTTACAAATTTAAATCAAAGTTCCATGGGAGTAATCAATTATATTACTAAAAAATCTAAAAAATATACTCAAACATTTTATTTTTATAGTTATTTTAAGTACAAATTTGGAGGAAATTACATATTAAAAAAACAAGAATAACTATTTTAGATATTTTATTGTAATTGTATAATATTAATTCAACTTGCCGGCTACCGTATTAATAAAAAGTAATAACAATATAAATATAATATAAAATATCCTCACTGACAAACCGTAACCATAATCATTTTTCGAATACAATGATATTATATACTTGAAATTTACATTTATTTTGTCATTTCCTATAATTGACTCGTTTTTAGCTGTATACGAACATTTTCAATTTTTAATTTTCTTAGTATAGTGGGCAAAACTATAACCAAAAAAATTCAATCACGCATTCGACATCACATACCCTTTTAAATCATAAGTCACTCATCTTTGAAATAGAAGTCCAAATAATGCTGTTAGATATAATTATAAATTAGGACATAGGTAGGTACTTCAGATAGTTTAATAACATCAACAAGTCTCCTCTACACTATCCATTTATTTGTTCTCTTTTAATTTGTAATGTTACAGCATAGACCTAAGTACCTATCCTAAAATAACCTAACCTTAAGTCTACGTGTTACAATATAAATAAGTAAATCAAATATTCAAAGTTATCTACAAAACATACCTTGAAAACAAAATGTTTGGAAATGGGAATGTTCACAATTTTTAAAATTTGTTTGGTCTCAAAAGTACAAACAGGCAATAATTTAAAATTAATAAAATTTCTGGTCATAAGACTCATTTGTAAAAAGAAAAATTAATGTGAAAAATTAATTTATATGACAAACATTTATTATATATATTTTACAATATATTATAGCTAAGGTATTATTACTAAGGTAATAATATATTATTAAAAATTACATTTAAACTTAAATCAGATCATACATATAATTTTCAACATCTTACTACCTATATATTATATTATAAATTGAAAATATAATCTAGAAAATATAACAAAATCTTCATTTTGACAGCTATATACAATGGACCTCAATTGTTTGAAGTTATCATTATATACTGACTGTAGAGTGTAGACATTTTTAATAAAGTGATCCTTAAGATCTTATATCGATTTATATCAATTACCTATTCGATAATAATCAATTGACATTGTGGTTTAACAAAAAATATTGAATATTATAAAGTATTATATTATCTAGTTTAACACTTACAGAAATTCAATTTCCTTAATCTGTATTTTTTATTAAGTAAAAAATTTAAAATCATAATATGTAAAATAATTATAATAACCATTTCCTTAGAAATGCATTTTCATGAAAGACCGACGGACGACGAATACGGGCGTATAATAAGGGTTTAATGATTTCAATAATTTCTATATTCATCATACAACCCTAAAACAAAAAAAACTATAAAAAAATATTATTCTGACAAAAATGTACTACCTTTTAATTTTGTAACTCTTAAAGTTTATTAGGTACACTATAACTATCAGAAATTATTTACTAGTAAAAACTTATTTCAAAAAAATATAGGTGGCTATATTTACACAATGAAGTCGAATGAACATAAAAAAAAAAAATTGTTCTACTGTGAAGAAATCACGAATGGGAAACCAAAATTATTTCTAAACATCATTAAATTATATAATACAAACTAGTTTCAATGAATATAAATCATACTTTGTAGAACTGAATACACAAATACTCAATTAATGTTATATATTATACTGCATCATTATATTATAAATACAAACTCATGCAACTTTATTAAAGTCATATTTAAAAAATCTTAAGCATAGAACCTTTGAATAAGTTCTGTATAGTTAAAAAAAATATGCTTCATGATACGGTTCTAATATAGTCGATCGGTTTACAAAAATAAATATGAGTAAAAGTTTTAATAATCTATAGCCTTTTCGTTTGACTTGGTAAACAAATTGTATATAATTTGTAAGACACACATCACAGCTGAACCGTATGTAAATAATCTGAACAACCAAACTCCTCCATAAGAGTCGTATATGTTCGAAGCTAGCACACCGCCTAATGATAAGCCTAGAAGAAATAGAATATTCAGTAAAACAACAATAGGTACAAATCAATAAATTGAATTAAAAATTTATGCAAGGAAAACTTATGACTATTATCTTGTATTTAATTTCCAAGCCTTATTATAGCTATTAAACTATATTATGGCAAAATTGATATCACTCATTTGCTCCCCTCATAATCATCCTATTTTCGTGTTTGTCTTGAAGTTTAACTTAACGAAAAATTCCGTAAGTAATTACTATAAAATATGCACTTGGATCAATTTCCGTCTGTTATTTCACTCGTCAGCAATATTGTATTGGGTTATGGGTTTATGGTTTTTATGAAGTTCCAAAATGCACAAATTGCCCCCAACCTTATTTTGCTATTTGCTTTATTTTATATTAGCTACCAATAATGTAAATAATAAATGTACATATTTAATTTTCTTTTTGTGAATTAAATGCTTATACTGTCATAATTTTGTAGTTCTTAATAAATTTCCGTACATGTAAGATACCGTACTATACATTTATAATACCCAAAACAAGTGTTATTTGGTCAAGTGGCAAATTAATGTTTTTAAACTGCGTAGATGGTATGTGGATATAAAAAGGTTGAGAACCGCCGAATTATATATTATTACAATACCAGACAGTCAAATAAGGGACAAAAATGTATAAACAAAAATTATAATGAAAGAATAAATATAACATAATTATATGCGACGTACAATATATGTAAATATAAATATTATATTTAATCTTTTATCGTGTGGTAACTGGTACATTTTTTAAATTCCGAAAACAGCCACTGAAGGCAACTGCTGGTCAACGCCCTAAAATATATTTACTGACGTAATGTGCATTTCAAATTGGTGGCGATCAATATTAAGCTATATAAGTAAACACATCCGGTGTTTAAGTGGATAAAAAAATTGAACTCATAAGATATATCAAACTTCGCGCTTTTGCGATATTGGAGCTGTACGCAATTTTAACGAATTATACATATATATAAATAAAAAAAATTGCACTCACCGATGCAATCGAAAAGTCCTACGAGCCCCAAGACTGTGTGATGCGCACTCGGTGGAGAGATCCTTCTGGAGTACGACACCATCACTGCGCGGCCCAGTGCGTATGCCATGCCGTTCAGGATTTCGATCAACAGCACCCAAATTGGATTCGTCATGATGGAGTAGAAAAAAAATCGGACTGTAAACGCGAACAAGACCAGTGCCATGCAGTGCTTGTGCCCTATGCGTTTTATTATCCAACCGGAATAGAAGAAAATCGGCATTTCGCCGAAAAAGGTCTGGACGCCCTGAGAAACGCCCTGTAGCGTTTTTATCCACGCCAATTGTTGACATTGGTATTCCGAGGCCAAGTCTTCTAGGTACCTGCAAGTGCGACGATAGGCAAAATAATATTATTACATCCGTCGTACGACCGTATATATAGCTATAAAATATACATATACAGGCAAGGCTGGGAATTAACGAGTTAAAAAGTTAAAGTTGAATTAAAAAGTTAATTTTATTTTAACATTTTCACTTATCTGTTAACTTACTAAATTTATTTTTTAATCAACGTGAAATTACCGAATTAATTTTTGATTTTAAGAAGAAGTTAAGTTAATTTATTTTGTTTTTAATTTTTATTATACTGGGTGATTCTTTTATCAAACAACACTCATTATTTCAAAAAGTATAAATTTTTTTGAAAATATTTTTTTACATAGTTTCAAGTCGCTTATAAAACAACGTTTTCATTAAAAATTATATTTTTAAATATTTTTTATCCTTATAATGTTTTAAGTTTTTTCCTTTTTTGAATAACAACATAGGGTTTTAATTTTATATTCCAAAGCAGAATATTTTTCTTAGTATTTTGATACATGAAAATCGAATTTGGGTTGAGTAGTTTATGAGTTATAAATATTCAAAGTTTGATGAGCGGTGAAGTGGACAAACATTTCGCGGGGTAACCCCGAACCACTCCACTCCGCTCGTCTAAACTTTAAATACTTATAACTCGTAAACTACTAGCCTCAAATTCGATTTTAATGTATCAAAATACTAAGAAAAATATTCTACTTTATAATATAAAATTAAAACCCTATGTTGTCATTTAAAAAAGTAAAAAACATAAAAAATTATAAGGATAAAAAATATTTAAAAATATAATTTTTTTATAAAAACGTTGTTTTATAAGCGACTTGAAACTATGTAAAAAAATATTTTCAAAAAAATTTACACTTTTTGAAATAATGAGTGTTGTTTGATAAAAGAATCACCCAGTATTTCACATTTCAGTCTATTTCGTTTTCATGTCAAAAAATATGTTTCGTATAAGTTGCTTAAAGTTGAACATTTATATCATTCCAATCTATAACTTATATAGAAATACTTTATAAAGTATAAAGTATTATAGTATAAAGTGTAAAGTATAAGTATAAAGTATAAAGTATAAGTATAAAGTATTATAGTCTATAATTTAGTTTTGGGTTGGAAAAAAATTAAGTACGCTAGCGTTGTATAAACAAATTAACTTTTTTTAACTTAATAAAAGGTTAACAAAAAGTGTGTACTAACTTTTAAATTAACTGAGTTAACATATAATTAAATGAACTTTTAACTTTTTGTTATTGATGCATATTAACTTAACCGAGTTAAAAAAAATCATTATTTTCCCAGCCTTGTATATAGGTCACACGCATAAATTGTGCCAAGCGAAGCAGGACAATTGTAAATCGCACCCAATACTCATTTGGTAGTCTGTAATTCACGCCAAAATAAAGATAATAATAAAAAAAGTGTTTTGTAATTTGCACCAATATAAGGGTAATTATGTGATTATACATACCGTCTTACAAACGTACAACATTGCAAATTGTATGTTCACAATAACAAATGTTACTCTGTAATTTATAAAATAAGAGTAAAATGACAGCCCATACAATTTGAAAGTATGATTATTATCTATCACACCACGAGGAGATTTGGTAAACTCCAAAAACGATTTTTTTGTTTGGTCAAGATGAAAAATTAAAAGTACAAATGTATGTTCAAAATTTAATATAAAACAAGAGTCTAAAAATATTTGTATTACCTACCTATCATTACATTTATAATATAAAATTATTTTTGACTATTGTGCGTCACTAATATTATTGTGATGGGACATAGTATTCATATATTGATGAACACTAGATATTATTTTTTTTTCCGTGTGTTGAAATTTATTTTTTTGGAAATCGCATTGTAAAATTTGAAAGATTCATATAATTTGGTCTCTTTAATTTGGCACTCAGATAGTATTTGTCAAAACCAGAGTCGATCTAGTATACAAAATAATTTTTTGAGATATTTATCTTTTAAATGTCATTTTGAAAGACGTCCTCATTTGGGGTATATTAATATTTGTATTTTTTTTTTATATTTCTCCCTTAAACAATAGATTTAAAATTTTTTTTAATCTACTAAATAAGTTTATTGATTGCCCAGAAATTTTAGAACGTATTAACTTCAAAGTAAATGTAAATAAATCAAGAAATAAACATCACTCTCATTTATCAATTATTAAAACTAACTACATGTCATACTAGCCTGCTATTATATTAATGTCATGTGGAAATATTTTCAATAACTTTGACCTGTTAAATATTACTCTTAATTCTTTAAGTTGCTATTAAGTTTAATTAAGTCAAATTATTGTTTAATAAATTATCTTATTTTTAATTTTTACAAGTACCTATAAATTATATATATTTTTTTTTCTGTATTATTTGTATACATTTTAGTATGACTCAAGCATGTACTGTAATTAGGATACTATTGTAAATTGGAATTATAATAATATTATTATTATAATTATAAAATAAGAAATGGGTGGTACTTATTAATTTGTATAATATGAATATTTAATCGAAGCTCAATCATTTAAATTACCCACATAAATACCATACTATGCAGTATGGGTACATATTAATATTACTATTTCCATAGTGCAAATCAAAAAACGCCTGGCACACTTTACTATAATAGTATAATCTTTTTACTACCTTTTCGCCGTGAGCGCAATTTACATTCGACCGTTTATCAAACATCACAAGTGTTCAGTGTGTGACGATATTATAACAGATTCGACTTACCAAAAGAGGTAACTCATCGTCATCGAGCTATAAACGCCCAGCGACAGGATCCAAACAAAAAAACTTATAACGTGAAGTTTTCCGAACAATTTAAAAACGTTTTGGAACGTGTTCTGTGACAGTTTGAACTCGACCACCTGTAATACGCGTATTCGAACAATAATAAATTACCTACCGTTAATGTCGACTTACAACAATAACGAGCAAATGTATACCGTACTGGGATGTTGGAAGCGACGAATAAATTCAAAATCATAAACGACAATATCAAATACGATATTGGCGTGTAGTCTTTTTGCACTTTGTCGTAGCTGAAATAGTCCACGAGCCAACCACTGAGCATCGTAACGGATCCCCATCCGATGGACGTCCAGCACCTTTGCTTTCCAAAGTCGTTGGGTTTGTCTTCTAAGGGACGGACAGAAAAACACGGTAAATGCATATTATACAATATAATATAGAGAATCCCGAAAAAAAAAACCAAGGAAAAAAAAACCAAAAAAAAAAAAAAAAACCAGAGTGATTATAATGTAATCAGAAAATTAGCATAATCACAAAATAATATAATATACAATCTATTTGGTGTGTTATGAAAATTTTAAAAATTATTTATAAATTAATTGTACAATTAATTATATATTTATTTTATCCAATTACAAAATTGGGCAAGTTAGTCACTTTTTTCAACTAGTTAAAGTTATGTTACTTTAATATAAAAAGTAACCAAGTTAGAATAAAGGTTAGTTTCTGAAATTTACCAAATTTCTAACTTAGTTAGATAGAAGATAGTTTGGTAAAAATAGTAACTTAAGTTAGAGTAGAAGTCAGTTTTTTTCATTTAAAATATACATTTAAAAAACAATTTTTTCAAAATATCTAATGCATTATATAAATTAATTATTAGTTAGGTGGGTAGGTAACCAACTTGAATTATTGGTGATGAATTAAAATATAATTAACTGTCAACTGATAATTTGATCAAATTTATCAAATAGGTAGACAATAACCTAAATTTCTTGGAATATCAGTCATTGTACAACAACAAAATAAGAAATTGAACCATTCAATAAATGAAAATATAAGCTACAAAAATAACTAGTTACTTATTATTTTAACGAATTAGATTAGATTATTTTGCACAATAAGTTCAACTAGTTAAGTTGCAAAACTAATATGAATTAAAACTAACTAGTTAGTGCTCAGCTTTGTCCAATTTATTTCCAATTAACATAGCTACTATAAGTTTTATAATAATTATTATTTATTATATATATTATAATAATTCATAAGCGTGTTTCAGGAAAAAGTATAGATACATAAATTATTATATAAAACAAATATAATATTATGATATATATTTTTATTGAAAAAAATTTATACAAACGAGCATAATTAAATGATTGATAGAATATAAGTTATGATTTTGGTTTTTTTTTCCGTATTCCAATATCTACAAGGTTCGATTCGACATAATGTTCTGTAACGCAAAGACTTACCTAGGAGATCGAAACAAATCGGATCTTGTATGGCCCATATACCCGATTGGCTGATCCAAAATATACACAACAATGAGAAAAATTCCCAAAATTCGGGCATGGAAACGATCGTTATTTGAGATTTTGGCGTCGCTGCCAATTCCATGATCATCGGACTGGGACAGGACAGTTGACAGGGCGTTTTTGTCGGACGATGACAAACTGGAGACATTATTCGACTGACATTTATATCGACATACTGAACTCGAAAATTATAGGCACCATACTATTGATGATCATATAATTTAAATTAAATAAATAACAAAATTTCTGATGATTTTATTCGTATATTCATTACCCGTTCATTGTTGGAGTTGTGCAAATGTATTAATATTGGCAAATCGGTTGTTTTACTTTCCAAACTTGCTACATCACTAGTGTTTAGTCCATTTTTCGATGTTGAGAACATTTCAGAAAGCAATATTTCATTGTTATTACAGTACAACTGGAAAAATAATTCGATTAATAGTATTTGTATATTTACAACCAAAAATTAAGATTATTTAAAAAAAAAAAAAAAATTTAACATTTAAGAAATTGAAATTGCATCAAGTATTTATGTATACATAATATATATTATTTTAAATATATGTACCTAATAAACCAGGTGATTCTTTTAATGCAAAACATACATTAGGTATTCAAAAATACTTATTAATGTTTTTGAAAATATTTTTTTTTACATGACTTCAAGTTCTTAAAAAACAACCTTTTAACTAAAAAATTATATTTTTAAATATTTTTTATCCTTAATTTTTTTTAAGAATTCTACATTTTTGAATTACAACATATAGTTTTAAATTTATCTTCGAAAGCAAAATATTTTTTTTGAGTATTTCGATACATACAAATCCAATTTTGGACGAGTTGTTTATGAGTAGGGGTTACTGTGGGGGGAGCAGAAAAAGTATTGAAAAACAAAAAAAAAAATATTTGCCAAATACTTTTGAAATACTTTTTTCGTTAAAAGTCGGTTTGCAAAATTAATTTTGTAAATACTTATTTTAAACAGTGTTATGTTATATTCAACTAGGTATTATCAGAACTTTTTGTACCTCCTTCTAAACTGTATACTGTAAACTGAAAATAAATTAAACTTGTTTTATTAAATACTTTACTATTAGGTAATTATAAACAGTTGTCAATAAAATCAGAAATTTATCTAATAATTTTACTAGATAAGAAATAGGGGCTCTCAACATTTATGAGTGAACAAATATTATAAACAGGGCTTGAAACCGATTTTCGATACCGGTTTTGAATACCGGTTTAAACCGTTAAAAACCGATACCGAAATCGAAACCGAAACCGAAATCGGAAAAAATTAATACCGGTATCCAAAACCGAAACCGAAATCGGAAAAAATCGATACCGGTATCTGAAACCGAAACCGAAAACGGAAAAAATCAATACCGGTTTCCGAAACCGAAACCGAAATCGGAAAAAATAAATACCGGTATCCGAAACCGAAACCGAAATCGGAAAACATAAATACCGATATCCAAAACCGAAACCGAAATCGGAAAACATAAATACCGATATCTGAAACTGAAATCGAAATCGGAAAAAATAATACCGTTTTTTTGAAACTTAAGACGAAATCTTAAGAAATAACATGATATCCGAAACGGAAGTCGAAAAATTGTAACATTAATATCTAACATTTAAAAAGCTCTACGCATTTAAAATAAACCTATAGGCTATAATTGAATTTCTGTTTAAAAGCTATGAATAATATAATTTATAATGCATATGGTAGAAAATAATAAATATCGTGTATATTATGTAAATTTGTTCTATCCTTCTATCACACAATGCGATCAATATTAAATATAATATTATAACTTATAAGATATAATTATTTATTATAACATCATATGGATGATGGCAAAGCTGGGCAAGTTAACCAATTTTTTTAACTAGTTAAAGTTAAGTTATTCTTAAATAAAAAATAACTATGATAAGTTAAAGTTTATTAGTCTTTTATAAATTATCATATTAAATTATTAATATACTGTATTAATACATCTGGGGTAATTGTTTACTCCGTGCGCAAAACGAAGAATTAAATTAAATTAAATTTTTTTTACATGGAGTTGACATAGTATTTTTGTTGGTATATTATTAGTTTTTATAAATTATCATATAAATATTACATATTATTATTTATTTTAATAGTTTATAATATTTATATTGCCGTTTCCATGGCGCGTTTATAATAATATTATTAAAAATTATTAATTTGGTCCATTTATTAGACCTGTAGCCTAGGTCACGTGCTATGCCTTCTTTTTTTTACTTAGTTTTACTTAGTTTTTTACTGGATTCTAAAATATTAAATCGAAAGTACCTACCTATATAGATATTTATATTATTATATTATTATGTATACTTTCTGAGTTCTGCAGTAATACAATTGATATTAATAATGATTAATGGTGCCTAATATATTATATTATTATAATTAATATTTTATAATATAATAATATATTATTATGTAAGTAGGTCTAGCTGCACTGGTGCAGTAGTCTTCGTCTGCGGGCACCCGTATGTTTGCATAGGTAATTTCACAGGGTATATAAATTATTAGACGTATAATATATTATTATTATACGCAATATAATAATTATTATATTTATATATTATATATTATTTTGGTAAATGGATTAATCGTATAATTGTATTCTAAAACAGTATACGCTATAATAAAAATTGTATAACAATAATACTATTATTATTTACTATATTATAAGCTGTCGTGTTTTTCTGCCGCCACAGACGATCAGAAGACAGAAATAACTATGTGGCATAATTTTCCTACATTAAATTAACACAATAGCCAAAAATAAATTATGAAATACTGAGTCAATAATTATAGTATAGTTATAAATAATTTATATTATTTATAATAATTATTGATATAGTATTTAATATTAAGTAATTGGTTGTAAATTTATATTATTAATTGATACTATGCTTTTTCCACTAACTTTTTTAGTAACTAATTATAATTAGAAAATTAAATTAAATATAATTAAAAATATTGCTGAAAATTTAGCTATCAATTTGAGTAGGTAGGTAAATTAATTAATAACAATTTAATTTTGTTCACAGGAATGAAATAATATATTTATAATTTATATATTATATTGTTATTTAATTTATATTATGTGTTATTGGTTGAAGAAGTAAAATTGGTGATAGTTTTTAGAGCATTGATTTTTTTATTTAGATTTGACTGATTTAAGAGATTTTTTAGTACTTTTAGTAATTTGGATATTTTAGGGTATGTATAGTCAGTAAGTATGTTATCCACACAGTATTAGATCAGGCCACGGCTTGACTGACCTGAACCGTTTTTACTTGTTTCACCTATGATAATAGTATTAATAATATACTTAATAAACAAAATTCAAACAATTTTTAATTAAATGTAAAATACTGTTGAATATATGTTTTCAAATAATTACAAATAGTTACAAATCAAAAGTAAAACAACAAATTTCAATCAATTTGATTAATGTGGTGGGTGGGACACACATGAAGTTAGCCCCTCATTGAGAAAATAGTTTCAATTTATAAACGATGAAGTTACACGAACTCTTAAAAAATTAGGTCGCAAATCATTTGGAAAATGTGTTATGAAGTGGAGAGGCTATAACTAAATACGTCATAATTACGTATTCATTCCAGTGTAAATATTATCATTGATTGCAAATACTATAGTACTTGTCAGGCAATCAGACGCTAAATCATACGCCACGCAATGTTTGGCGATTGGCGAGTAGGTTCCTAAGCCAGTATTTTATGTCATTATAAATTATTATAATTACAGGGATTAAAACTGATATTCGATACTGATTTTGAATACCGGTTAAAACCGTTAAAAACCGAAATCGAAACGGAAAAAATGAATACCGGTATCCGAAACCAAAACCGAAACCGAAATCGGAAAAAATCGATACCGGTATCCGAAACCGAAACCGAAATCGAAAAAAGTCAATACCGGTATCCGAAACCGAAACCGAAATCGGAAAAAATCAATACTGGTATCCGAAACCGAAACCGAAATCGGAAAAAATCGATACCGGTATCCAAAACCGAAACCGAAATCGAAAAAAGTCAATACCGATATCCGAAACCGAAACCGAAATCGGAAAAAATTGATACCGGTATCCAAAACCGAAACCGAAATCGAAAAAAGTCAATACCGGTATCCGAAACCGAAACCGAAACCGGAAAATTTTTTTTCGGTTTCAAGCCCTGATTATAAATAACATAATTTAATTATTATCAAAAAACGTCTGACACGTGACGACTAACGAACAATTAAAATACAAATACGTTCAATACAGTACTTTATTCAAAAAGTATTTTAAAAGTATTCCAAAAACTATTAAAGTACCTATTTAAATATATTTACTCAAATACTTTACAAGACTGCTTACACAATCATTGTTTATACATTACATATTAAATACATAATATATACATTGTACATAAAATTATACAGTCAAGTATCGATAACTCTAACCTCGATAACTCGAATTTTTTTTTTTGTCCCTAGGAAACTCCTATACACTCAGTGCAATGTTATGTAACTCGAAAAATACATAAGTCAAATTAATTTTTATCTCCCTTGACATTCGAGTTATCGACGCTCGACTGTATATGAAACGCTTGCAACTATATGAAGAAATTAGCCCCCCCCCCGCCTTGGTATTTTTTTCCTACTTTAAGCCATGTTTATGAATTATAAGAACTTAGAGTTTATAACCCATAAACTACTGATTCTAAATTCGATTTTAATCCATCGAAATCATTGAGAAAATATTCTTCTTTGGACGAAATAAAAGTTTCAAAAAAGTAAAAAACCTAAACATGTTAAAGATAAAAAATGTTTCAAAATATATTATACAATGTTATATTTTAAAAATTTTGTTTAATAACGACTATTTCAAAATTATTTATACTTTTTGAAATAACGAATGTTGTTCAATGAATTTCAAAGAATCACTCGGTATATAGGATTTTGATTACCATCTGAGTTTCTAAGTGCAATCAGTACATAGAAAAATCAAACAAATATTATCCCTTACAGATCCTACAGGACGAAACTAAACATTTTTTTCTTTTAATATCCTTTTTAATTAAATACCTTGCAATTCACCAACCTATCTGCGTTGTTTCCGTCCATTAGTATTTTTTGATCGCAGTCCGAAAGTTTATTGGTGTGGTCGAAATATATTTTAACGGTCGTTATGTTGACGTCACAATCCAGCTCTACGGACGTCTCTAAAGACAGTCTGGACACAAACATCAGAGAGAACGCAGAGATACCGGTCGTAAATATGAACACCAAAAACATGTATTTCTTTACGGGGAACTTATCGACGATGGCGCCGACTACCGGTTTCGCTAACATTGATATGACGAAAAGGCTCATCATTATGTATCCTACAGTGATTTTCGAATATCCCAATTGTTTGGCGTAAGTCGAACCGAAACTGAGGATCGTCGCTATACCTGAAAATAGACGAAGAGACTAGCGTTATCACAAAATATTATAAACGTTAAAATATATGAATATGGTCATGGCTGTATCCATAAAATGTTTTCGGGGGGGGGGGGGGGGTCCACAACATGTATATTGTAATTTTATTGAATTTGTGTTTTGATATTTGGTTAAAAATAAGATATATTGAAGACATTTTGGGGGGTCCAGGGGGCTCAGACACGGCCTTGAATATAGTGCATAAATAAGGCATGCCATAAGGTCAGTGGTGTCTGACAAAAGTAAAACGATAAAATGTCAAAACGATACGGTTCTAAACAATTACTATTAAAAAGTGGGTAATGCTCTGGTGTACATAGTAAATTAGGTGTCTAGATAATGGTCCCTGTAATGGATGTGTTAAATTTTAATTCAATTTTATAAAATCATTGTATAAGAAAAACGATTCTGAGCGAAGACGGTCTGTCAGCCTATATTAATTACTAAGTATACTTTATGATAGTATTGTGGTTAAATTAATTTATTTTGTTCTTAGGCATTAGTACTGATGCAGATTATATACATTTTTACCGAAAAAATTGCATTTGAAAATTTCATTGTGAGTATTAAATATAATTATATATTATTAAGTATATAATAATTAATAAAGAACCCTCAAATAATATTTTTAAATTATAACAAAATAACAAAAATCGTTATTCTTCGGATAAATATCTAATTTCGTCACAATTTTAACTTAAAATGTCTATTAAAAAACAGTGTTTATATTTATTTTAGATTTTTTGGTTACAGTATGAAGTGTTTATGAGAATCATTGTTTTAAACTTTCAATCCTTAGCTAAACAAACATTTTATACAATTTTTTTTTTCGAAAAATAAATTTGCAATTTTCGAGATTTTGATGCATTTTGTCATAGTTCCAAGAAATTCAAAATTTTGGTGAAAATTAAATGGTATTTAGAATATGGTATTATTATTAGCATCCGATGACAATTTTAAGTATCTACGGTCATTAGTTTGTTAGTTACACCAAAAAAAAACTAAATCGGTTCGGTCGAAAACTGTTTTTTTTCCGTTTTTCCTTATATTTTTGTTTGTTTTTCCCGGTGATTTTGAAAACTTCTGTGAATTTTTAAATTTTACCTCTCAAAAGTACCAACTAGATTCACTTTCCCTTCAGAAAAGATTATACAATTTTTAAATCAAATCATTATTTCTACTAGAAAAAGTGAAACACACACATAATTTTAAAATTGCTCCGCTCAGAAACTAGAATCTATAAACGTTTAGAAATATAAATAAAACGTATCATTTCAATCAATATAGGTACATATTGTTACATATTGTTATGGTATTAATATTATATAACCAGTTTAGGATAAATTTCAATTTATTTCGTACTTCACCGGTTAACGATGAAACCTAACTAAAAATTTTAAATAATTATCTGCTACAATAAACGTTTGTCACATTATTGTAATATGATTTTTTTTAAATACTTACATCCCGAGTAAAGGAAATAATGCATTTTCATTAGTAGTAGAGCTTTGTTCACACCTATCAACCACATCTTGAAGCGTTTATTTAAATTGATATCCTGTTAAATTAACACAACAAAAAACATTATAATATATTATTTTAATAGACGATGTAATGACAATTATAAATTAATAGTTGTTAAGAACAAAATAGGTTATGAGATTATGAATAAATATTAGTAGGTAAGAATGTTGAGAATAATGTAGTTTGTGAATTCTAAGTGAGTACTAATTATTGAAGTTATCAATACCAAAAAAAATGCAGTGCACATTCGCCAGATAATAAAATTTGTGTCGGGAGTAGGCAATAATATTATTATAATCAGCACTAAAGTGAAAATCTGTTACTATAGGTAATCAAATAATAATAAAAGAAAAAAGATATCATAATTTTTTCACTTCGAATATGAACGTGTTCGGTAGATATAGGTTAGATTAGGTATAATTATAATAATTAATACATTGAACAAATAGAAAACAAACGAGTATTAATGTTTGAAGTCCATGGTCAGTGTTTAAATACAATTATTATCTATTATTTAATCGATTGTTTTTAACAAATGATTTCCATTGCTTATAAATAAAACTGCTCTATATAAATATTGATATTCGTAATCGACGGTTTACGAATAGTTAATTTACGTTAGTTACTTTTGACGTGATGTGAATCTTCTTATAAAAAAAAGATATCATAATTTTATCACAATATGAATAGTCATGTTCGGTAAGTATAGGTACCTATTATATTATTATAATAATTAATACAATGAACAAATAAAAAACAGACGAGTATTAATGTTTGAAGTCTATGGTCAGTGTTCAAACCAAATTATTATCTATTATTAAATTGATTGTTTTTAATAAATTATCTTCGTTTTACCATTGATTATAAATAAAACTGCTCTATATAAATACTAATATTCGTAATCAACAGCTTTAGTAATAAAAACGATTTTTATAATACGACAGAGGTGGCAGCTTATTGGACTCGTTCGCCTATTAGACTCACACACCTGTTAACGCTGTCTTTTTCGACCGAAGAAGTCAAAAGCCAATCAACTCTGAATGGATTTTAATCCAAAAATTAATTATGGGTACCTCCTAATTCATAAAAATATTTTTAATTAAACAAAATTGTTTTCTAATAAATGAGTTATTTAATTATAATACATTTGATTACATATTATATTATGATAGCTAAAATTTGATAAATATTTTTTAAGCAAGCAAGTGTGTATTTTTAATTTTTTTGTGGCCTTTTGCCTTTATTATTGACACGTTAGATAACGGGCTCAAGTGATCTGGTTTCAAAACGAGTCGTCTAATAAGCGGTGACCATTGCAGTGTGTTAGAAAAAAAATTTGTAATTTAACAATAGTATTATATTATCAAATAGGACGTTACTTTTGACGTGATGCGAATCTTCTTTTTTTGACGTTTTTCGGTGAACTTAAACTGCGCCACGTGCAGTCGTTATGGATTCCAAGTAGATCAAACCGCATTGAAATTTTATTTTCTAACACTACAGTGTCGTAGATATACCTCCACATTCCTTTTTTAGATATGAGAAAAATTATTATCGCAATGAAATAGTAAGTTATCAAGTGATTACCTAATTACGAAAATAAGTGCGTACACCACATTCGTTACCATACAGTCAATTAATTAAATTAAATTAAATTCTCCAACAGTATTTTATTTGTTCTCGTTTTTTGCAATTTTTAAAAGCTCTTATCGTGTGCGTTAATTACATAAGCGAAGGTCAGCGATAAAATTAGTTTCCTCCTCTATTCCATAAATCGTATTATAATGTAGCTGATTATTGAACAATGCTCAATTATATATATTTTGTATGCCATTAGCAATTATTTAGTAGGTGTTATATTTTTTTTTAAATACCTTCCTTAATAGTTACTACTCTTCATTGAATGATATGATATATTTAACAAATTTCAACATAATATTATATTATAATATTAAGAAAAATTAGAAAATATCTTAGTATTTTATATTTTAACTTTTTAACTTTTAAGTATTATTTTATTTTTTTTTATGGTAGGTACCAATCTACCGCACAAATTGTTATCTGTACTACGCATTCAATTTCTTAATAAATTTCTTCATTTCTCAGTGTCTTGACTGTCGGTTATTTTTGTATATTTTACGTATCCCACAAGTGAAAATTAAATAATATTAATACTACCAATAACATCAATGACATTACATTTTTTGCACACGCAAGTGTAATTTTTTAAAAATTCAGACTAGTAATCGAAACTCATAGTGTGCTTGACAATCATAGTTTATTTTATCACATGCCATGGTATTAATGTTTTAAATACGAAAGCGACGGTATAATAACACAATACTCATAATTAAAAATTTATATTATATTATATAATACTAGTTGATCCCGTGCACTTCGTTGCCCATTAAAAATGCCAACTATCTATATGAATAATATTTTATATTTAATAATATAACCCATGGCAACCATTTATAAATAAAAATTTCCATCGGAAAACTCAAAATCCCTGTTTGAGCACCTATCGGGGTTGGTCCTCTCCCTTTTTAAATTCGACTGTCTTCTGCCCAGAGGTCTAATCTATCTGTGTACCAAATTTTATCAACAACGATCCATCCGTTTAGGGATGCATAAAGGACACACACAAACACAGACAAACATTAATTTATTAATATCTATATAAATATAGATTAATATAAATATTCATTATATTGACCACATGATATTTTATAAGACTATTCTGAGCAAACCTAACTCAATTCGTTCGACAATTGTAGGTGATAAAATATGAACAACCGAATAGGTACCAGTACATTAAATTAAAATGCATTATTATAAATAGGTATAACATAATATTTCCCAACTCGATTATAAATTCCAGACTTTCTTTTAAAAATCTCTAATAAATCACTTTTTTTGGTTTTACGATAAAGCTGCCTAAAATATTTTGGTTTTTATTTGTTAAGTTATAGACAGTGCTTGAAAATGTGAAAAATCAAGTAGACTAGGTCAATCCAAAGGTTTAAAAGCTGCATTTCAATATTATTTATTACAGGCCCGTGGGTCTAAATATTAAATACTACTTTTTAGACAGAATTGTTATGTTTGAAACACAATATTTTAAGCAACTTGTTTTAAACATGTTTATAACACGAGTTTAAAACATTTGTATTTATTGTTTAAAACGAATAAAAAATGGTTCATACCCACTTTGCCGACAACTCAGTTCGCCGACAAATATACCAGTTTTAAAATATTTTAGAAACATTCCCATTTCGCCAACAGTCTAGTTTGCTGACATCTTGGTTTGCCGACAAATTATAAATATAGTTTAAATTTTCCCAATTCGCCAACAGGTGGCAATAGTTTTTTTCAAAAACAGATTTTATGACAGCGATAACACAGTATGTTGTCGAAAAGTTCAATGATTAAATGATTTCCCACACATAAAATCCAGAGAGAGTACAGATTGGTGAATTTAGTTTGTTCCAGCCGTGTGTACTGTAAAGTTCAAAATTTAATAGTTAGCCAGTTAAAAATTAAAGTGGAATGGTTTAAAATAAAATCAGAAAAAAATCATGATTTATTAGTAGTCAATAATTTTATTCACCGAGTGGATAGAATACGGGACAAAACCGAATATTATAAATGCATACAAAATTGCGGCGGTCGTGCTATTTTGAAAAATAAAACTGATGCAATATAACCGAAGCCTCACAATCACCCAACACATGGAGTTGAGTTGGCTAATCGTGGCTTTCGAAATAAATTGAAAGTAAGTACAAATTTAGTAATGTTTAAGTACAAATTATAAAAATATAATATAAAATATATATTATAGTACTTATTAAGTGCATTATGTTCCGAGCCCTAATAATGATATATTATATTATAATGATATAATGTTTGTTTTTTTTCTAAACTTTGATTAATGAAGGAGGAACCGGTACCTAAGACATTTAATGAAATTAGGAGATCTGTCATAACTTCAGGAATAGAAGGTGCTACAAATTCCTTATGCTACATTTCCTATACACTATACAATTTTGAAAATATTTTGACTCTTTTTGAGCTGATTACGGACATACTAAATTTTCAATTTTTTTAGTTTTTATACCCCCTGTCGTCTAAAGCACTCTAAGCCACTAATAAAATACATTTGTATTTCAACATTTTAAAATAGAAAAGTGTAACCATTTTTTTTAGATTCTCTTCGGAGCAATGAGTGGATGATGTGTTTTTTAAATTTTTTTTTGTTTCTGTCATAATCGTATTTGGGGCAGTACAACTGCTTCGGTCTTTTTTCAACAGTATCCATCTCGATCGATGAGCAAGTGACTATAGTTGGTTCATTTAGAAGTTTAAAATTTAAAATTCCAATAGTTTTAAAAGCGCCTAGAATAACAAAATAAAAACTAAGGAAAAATGGGAATTTTTAAGCAAAATCAGTTTTCGACAAAATCAATTTTGGTTTTTGGTGTAACTCTAAAACAAATAACCGTAGATACATGAAATTTTCACTGAATGGTTTATATTAGGATTAATTTTTGTACACTATAAAATTCACAGGATCAAAATATTTTGACTTGTTTTGGGCTGTTTACAGACATAATAAACTTTCAGTTTTTTTTAGTTTATTTCCTATGATTGCCAATAAAATTTTAATTGTTGTATAAAAAAGCTTGAAAATTTAATACAAGCCTCTTAATATATTGTTACAATTTCATTTTAAAAATATTAAATATACAGTCACAAAGCTTTCTTATAAACATTTAAAGTTCAAATTATTACAAAATACATAAACATCACGAAAATTTACATATTGTTTGAGTTAGAAATACATAAAAAATTTTATTTTTAAATCTAACATTAGACAATTTAAGACAAGATTCTTCATGAGTATGTCTATCTTTATCAAAATAAAAAAATATCTATCGAAAAGCCGAAAATAAATTTAATTTTTACATCATTGGATATTCTCTCGATTTCTCATGTAGGCATGTTGTA